CTTGCGAGTAAACTGAATTTGATGAGGTTCAAGTATGTCGAAAATGCTGCAAGAAGATGTTCCAAATAGCTTCATTCTCTATCAACACTCTCAGCTCTTCGAGATTTTACACAGAGCAGTTGACGTTCAAAAAATTCTAAAACTCACGAAAATATTTTCAGTCAAAGATTGACTGCCTATCTCTTATAAGCTTCTTTCAATGATATTGGGAAAGAACAGCCAGTTACCTGACTTCTAGAACTTTTTTTGCTGTGTTTGAATTCGCTTTTACAGCTAGATACTATGAGACAGGCCAGTTCCAAGAAGGAGAGCGTGGGACTCGTGTGGTGTTTTCGTGGGCTAAAATTATCGGGCAGTACCTGTTCTGGTTTGGTTCATTCTATGTTCAGTACCAGGTCAGTGTTCCCTTTCTTGGCGCCTTTATTAACATTCTTATCTTTAGTTATCGTTTCAAAAGTATTATTCCAGGTTTACTCTTGGATCTGCAAGCAAATCTTTCTGATACTTGCTTCGCCTTTCATGTGAATCCAGTATTGTCTTTGTAGTCACAATTTATACTCATTTATATGGGCCAATTCTGAGCTTCCAACGAATTAAGTTTTGCGAACAAATACAAATAGTTTCGTGAACTAATTCAAGTAGTTCTACAACTAAATTTTTTTAACCCATCCTTGCGGGTGATTCTGTCGATCCAGTGAGCAACTTCATTGGTTGTTTATAATGGTTAATGTCATCAGTTCTTTTCTGTTGATGAGGCTACTGCTACCCATTACTAACCTCCTTTCTTGGCTTTACGATGTCTTGTCTTAATTCTAACGTATCAAGACTGTTTGTGTGTTGCTGCTTTTTCTTCATTGCGCTCTATCGGTTTAGTCGAGCACAACTAAATTGTTTAGCCACACCTGTATTCTTTTAGTAGAGATGTATTGTAATTATCAGCATAATGACATTTATTTGAGGTTTTTGATTTATCTGTGAACAGTATATCGGTGAGTCATTTTTTTGAATATAAATAAAGTTCTCCAACTACAAAGGAACTCACCAGTTTGGCTTTGTCAAATAACGTTTCATACAAAATATTTATTGCAGAGTGCATTGAAAAACTCAACTGCAGCTGAAAACATGATTTTTTAACATTTAAAATCGAGACCAAACAATCAAAGGAATAACCTAACAAACGGCCAACATAGACAAATTCCATCAGAGCTTGTGTTAATTGAGGGTACTCCGTAATTAATCACAGTGCCATATAATTAAGACAAAATAACGTAATGAAAATTAAGACAAAGATGCTGAGTATGTCCGTTACTCGAGAGGAATTTTCGTCTTCTATATGTCCTTTTACTCCAAACAAGAGCTTAGGTCAATCCGAACGACAACATTTAGGCAACAAGCATTCAAAAATCAAGGTGGGAACAACATAGGCAGTTGGTAGCCTCAGTCTAAGAAATCATTGGTTGACCGGATTGCAGAGTCTGTTTTTTCTTCATTCGGTTGAGGAGATTGTTCAGCTTAAAACGCATTATTGTAAAAAATGAACCAATCAAGCTGTACTCTT